TTTTCCAAAGCAATTATCATTTCCACACCTCTTTTTCTATATTATTACCTCTTGCAAATTAGTTATGGTGTGCCCCAAATCATCAGCTGTGTTGTTAAAGAAGGTCAACATGGAAGTGCGAATAAACTCCGGACAATTCTTCACCAACGACTTGGCGTCGATGCCTTTTACCAAAACTTGCAGACACCGTACAGTAATCCTAACATCTGCACCAAAAGCAGCCAATTTCGACCTCAAAAGACTGGCAAGTTTGCAGAACAATGCCGCCACCATCTCCTTTTCCTTTAAGCTTGCAGCCCCAGTTAGGTTTGTCGCTGTTGCGACAGCGATGAAATAGTTCCTATGGGTGGAAAAGTACTTTTCCATTAAAGGCAGGACCACTTTTGAAAAGAACTTGATGTCACGCGACGACTTTATGTAGGAGTTTCGGCGGCTGAACGTTTGAGACGGCTTCAGTAGCTTCATGTTAATAGTGGCCTTATCGAGATACTGGATAAGCTTCTCTAGCAAACTGTAAGCAAATCGCAGTTCAATCGACGGGCCAGCTGTGGCTTGTTCAGTTTCTTGTTGGCCTCCTCTGTTCGGTCTGTGTAATTTGTAGCCTTGGTATTGGAGATATTTTAAAAACTCCTGAGATCGCTCTCTGTCCTTTTTCTTTTCTTTGTCAGTCAGTAAATCGTATGGAACTAACTGAGGGTGGATGCCACCTACAGGAAAAAATCTTACTTAGTTGAGTTCATTTGAAAACCTTGCCTGGGGACTTACCACCACATGTGATAAGCTCCTCCCTTTTTTTCCTCGCCCAAATATCATGTGCATTCTCCGCTAGTCGTTCGCCCATATTTTGCATTTCCCTTGAAAGTGTTAAGTTCGTCATGTCCACAGGGTGCGGATTGTAGTCGAAAGCGTTGCTAGTTTCTCCTCTTACAAATTGTGAACTGCGACTGTTTGAAGGCATATCAACTTCAGTGTGTTCCACCGACCATCCGAGCGCCAATAGAGCTTTCAGCGATTCGCGTACGGGCTCCTTGTAACTTTTGAGGAACAAATCACAATATTAACGCCGGCTATTTCACAGTAAGTAAGTAAGTGCTCACCGTTCTCTTTCATAGTCACTTAATGTGGAGTAGGGCTTCAATCTTGGATGAGTTTTATTGCCATCCCAACCTGAGTAAGTCTCGCCATGCCTCCAACCGTTTTCCAACTTCCGGGATCCCCAGGCGTCATGGTAATGTTCAGAAAACTGTTGCACGATGTTGTTAAGATCATTGTTCAACTGAACTGACGAAGTATTAATGGGCTGGGGATTGTATGGACCGTCAGGTCCTGAAGCGGACTTATTGGAATACCTGCAAATTGGAGTCCGAGAAGTCCCAAAATTCAAAACACAAATTAAAGGAAACGATCACTTTCAAAGAAAGTGTCTGAAAGGAAGCAGAAGCTGAGGGCGAAACTGTGTTGATGGCGCCAATTTTCATCAAAGAGCGCCCGTGAAAAATCACAGATCTGCTACGTATCTTAGAGAGATGATAGAGGCACACCGCACTTACCATTCATCATCGTAATTCTTCGAAAGAGAATAATCGGGCGGTAGCGCACATCCGAAGGCAGTAAGACAGGGTAAAGCTTTGCCGAAAAGTTCCGGGTCATAATCCATTTTACTGAGAGAATCAAAAATGTTTGAGAACAACATCATTGTCAGACGTTTCTCTTCATCACTGGCCGCACCATACACTCCTGCGAAATTAATTTTGAAATACTTACTGGGTTCCAAACTGTAAAATCAGCAACAGAACCTACCTTGGCCTCCACTTGATCCATAATACTTGGCACATCGGTCATAATGCAAAGTGAGCAATCGCAGCGCAACTGTAGTATACTCAGACAAGTTTGATACGTCTACAGTAAGTTTTCTGAGCAGCTTCAACAGCATTGAAGGCTGCAGCTGGCTGGTCAGAGCTACCAGAAAATCCGACACTGCTTCTCTCTGACCTTTGGTCAGCATTCGATTCTTGGATAATCTGTAGACTGTGTGCAGGGTGGCATCGAGTATGGTTGCGTAGTTTTCCGCCTCACTGTAGAACTTGCTATGCTGGATTAGCAACGGGAGGATGGAGTTGCCAATGTAGCGGTTCATGCTGAGGGCCATATCAGATTCGCTGCCATCGTGCTAAACGAAATATTGCTCACAACAGTATCTCAGAGTATGAGGACTGCTTACCCTATCTAACATCGTAGCGCATCTTAAGTCCGGCAAAAAAGCATCTTCGAGCAACCGATAAAATAGTTCTTGCGTTTCAATACCGTAAACCCGTTCCAGGAACAAAACCACAGATTGCTTATGGGGCGGTGTTAACCCGGAGGGCATATCAGACTTAGGTCGCTCTTCGCCTTGTGCCGGATTGTGAAGAGTGAATTTCAAGCTAAGAACACCCTGTAGGTCCTCTAATGGCACAAGGGATCTGAGAATTGCTCTTGCCCTCAAAGACTCGTTTTTACCCTGCAATTTGCCAATGTACAATCGTGTCAATATACGATAAGTTAATCGGCTCAGAACATGGACATACCAGCGAAATTACAGCTGAATCAGGAGCGCATCTTCCCAGCAGGTCCACCAGCGTGCAGTAGAAGTTCAGAATAGCTGCCCCTGTGTCAATGTAGTCTTCGTCTTCATCACTTTCAGGTAGTGGATGAGAAAACTGTTGTAAATTCACCGTTCCTTCGGGTGATTCCTCCATCATTTTTCGTCGATCTGATATCCTGTCCGACATCTGGAATAATTATTATATTACTTTCTTTCCTGGGCTCCAGTCAAAGTTTTTTTTTTAATTAGTTTGTTATAGCAATCTAGTTTACACCAATAAGCTACATTTACTTATCCTAAACTACTAGATGTACATTTGCAGAGTGTTATCCTATGATATTAACTTCGGCTTTGTCATTGGAGAGTCACCATTTTAATGTGTACATATATAACTTCTACTTTGTTAAGAATCAACGATTAATTTCATGCACTAGTTCATAGGGTTTCACTCGATTTAGTCTTCTTGTTAAGCCATAGTTGTTCAAGAGCTGGATGGTTTCAACGTTGATGTGATTTTGTAGTCTTTGTTCACGACTTTTCGCACAATTTTTTATTACATTGTCCACTGTTTGCACATTTAGATCTCCAGTCAAAGTGTGAAACAAAAATGTATATATGGTTTATTTCATTACTTTTCGGCGAGACAACAGCGCCATCATCAGATTTAAAATTCATACAAACTCATAATTGGTAAACATTACATTCATTTAGGTCTTTGCTGTTTGTGTACAGTTGACTACGTGACAGACTACTACGTTTGACTGGAGCCCAGGAAAGAAAATAATATAATAACAATTACACCCAGTCAGGAAAATAAATCAAAATCTGGAATAATGTAAAAAATATTGGTTTACCGAATAGAAAGGATTTGGGTCGCCCTTGGAGCTATTTGGAAGACAAGGAAACAACATAAGGAAGTTGAACAGACCATGACCAGCACGAAGTCCGGATTTTGATCCTCTCGATTTGAGAGGGCTTTGGGCCATGATGGTTTTTATACAGGGTGTCCTATACTGCCCTGCTAAGAAAAGAAGTCGTATCTGCAATTTTTCAGTTTTTCAGCTTATGCTGAATACTGGTATAACAGAGTTTGTTTTACCTCCCAGACACCCCTATACTAAGTCGTAATGATCAAAAAGTCATATTGATAATTATTATTGAGTATTTTTGCCGTATGAGATATTATGGTTAGAGTTCGTTTATTAACTGATATTATTACTGCGATTATTTTAGTGGTTGTGTTTGTTAAGTTAGTTCGAAAGTGTTATATAAGTTGTTTATATTTTAATATTCTGCTGATATAGAGAACAAGGCATTATTATCTCTATATTTAACTTATATCTTATATTTAACTATTTCATAAGTGTTTCATCCGTGCCGGTTATTCTAAGGTTATGTGTTTTTTATTTATTTCTAGATGTCTGCTAGATCTAAAATGTTAGTTTTACTAGCCCTAAACAAGGAGTTAGCTCAAAAAATGTCCACATATAGAGCTAATAATATACATGGTAGACTAAACAAAAATTCTATTGATAATTCACACGATCCAGATTTTACTGTGGAGTCTGAATTTCCAACTGAGACCGCAAGTGAAAAGCCTGCAGAATTAATTGGAGATTTATTGAACATTATCATAGAAATTGCTTTGAAAACCGGTGAACAAAATCAATCACGAAAATTCACTAAACAAGGAAAAGTTACAGCAAATAATTACAGGAAAGAAAGAAACTGAAAAGGGAGGAACAAATTGCACAGCATGACGTGCAAGAAACATGTAAGGAAAGTTGTGCAAAAAAAGGTACCCAAGCAATTGACATATGGAGACAAAATGCTAGAAATAAAGAATTCTGGGAAGTGACCCATGAACAATAGCGTAAATTTTTTTTTAACGTTAAAAAAAATCGATAAAAAAAGACAAACTAAAGATGGAGACTCCGGGCGAAGTAATACAATTACCTACTATTTAAAATCAAATGGTTCAAAAGTAGAGATGATTGAAATGAGCCTTAATGATTTTCATGATTTTATTGACTATTCTTCAAGATTCAAAATGAACAAAATTACACCCAAAACCTTATTTAGCAAATTTTGTTGAGGTTCAATTTAAAAGGGGCTCTAAAAACCTTTTTTATAAAACCAAATTTAGTGACCATTGATTGAACTCAACTTTCTATTGGCCAAACATTTTAAAAATGACCTACCAAAAGGATAGGAAAGCCAAATTGCTGCAAAAATTGGAATGGAACTGGCACGACGGAAATGACATTGAAAGTGACTAGTATTAGATAATGTATTATTTTTAGTTAATATATGTTTTTCTTACAAAGTTTGTGTTGTTTGCTTTTACGTTATTTGCTAAGCTATGAGTACTAAACTGCAAAATTACTTAGTATGTCTATACCTTAATAGTATGAGAATAATAAAACAAAAAGTCAATTTTTTATCAAATCCCAAAATTTTCAACCTTAAGATTTCTTGTGTAAGTTTATTAACGTGAAGTTCACATTGAGATCTTAAAAAAGAACCGTTTTGCAAATAAGCGAAGATGGCATGTCATAATTTACAAATTGCTTAATATCTCAAAGCTTGGGTTTTGCAGATACGACTTCCTGTCTTAGCAGGGTGATAGTAATAAGTGAAACGGCGGATTCCTCCGACATATAAGTTTCGATTTTTTAATAAGTTTTTCACTTTGGATATCCACTTCTTCTTTACTGCTGGCACACGCGACGCTCGCACGATAATACCAGAAACACAACTTATAAAGTACTGGCGAAAATACCGACTTGCACGTTTTTTCCTAAACTCTTCAGGCTGTTTTTACCTTATTTGCATCTACAATCGCTTTCAATAAGCCTTCACCTTCGCCTCGCAAAGCGGGACCGAGGCATTCGGGTCTTCGAATCAACAGGCGAATTACAAGATTGGCATTTTCTTCCACACTTTCGCCGTTCACCCAAACGCAAAATCTTAGAAAGTCCAAATAGCGCTCGCCTTCTACAGGATCCCAACCCAAATCTGGATACCCCTTCAAATGAAGAATATCGTCAGAAGCGTCAAATGGAACAACGCCTAAATTACCTTCTCCACTAGTTCCGTATTAGATTGCAAACCGCATCGAGAAAGATAAATGGCAATTTTTTCCAAATAGTGCTCTCTTAAAGCAAGCGCGAGTTCTGTGTTTTCCATGAGGGACGAATAAGCAACGTCCAGAGGCGTGGAGCCCCGCAGACTGGGCCTGGACAGCAGGATGTTGCTGTTATCCAAGAGGAAATCAAAGTGCTCAAACATGGCTTTCTGATTTTGCCGGCCTGTTCTGCAAAAGTAGCATAAAAATCTGCAGCAAGCTACTACCATTTCATGTGAGGTGTCCTGAAAAAGAATGGAATTTTTCAAAAATTTACCTGCAGTACTGTAACTACTGCTGGATTGCTTTAAAAATTCGGATCGTCCAAAATATGAAAAGATCCTAAAGATCCGGATGGACTAAAAGATTCGGAAATTTGCAAAAAATTAGTGTAGTTTGTTTATACAAATATGTCGTCAAGTGTGAGAGAACGTCTTTCCCTACAGCACAAAAAAGTGGGCAGACCTTGTAACTCATTGTCTTGTACATAATGAATAAATTCAGTGGTTCGTTTAAAGGAAAAAAGCGTCCATCCGACCATTTTTATTTTCAAATGTGGCTTTTTTGCTGAATTTATTTACAGAGGATGAGCGCCATCAGCATACCTTTTCTTTTGTTCCCCCGATTTCGCCCTCGGGATTTGCAGCTTGAGTGCTGGCATCAGACTGCGCCTGAGACCGTCTTCCTAATGTGTTAATCATCACAGCCATCACATTTTCGTGTATTCTCAACACCCTAATTAAATCCGGATGCTGGAAGAACGTGTGGTTGTTCACCAGCTTCCACAGACGCTCCCGCATAAACTCCTCCTCCTCCTGGGACATTTGGACGGGCAAAAGAGCCCGAATTTGACTGAGGCCAATCCACATCTCGGCCACATCAAGTTTCGTCTTCGAATTTATTATGTAGGTTTTTTCAAGTGCGCGAATCAATTCGCCGACAGAGTCGTACTGTCTTACTAAAAGGCTGGAAATTTACTCAGATGTTAGATGAAAACGCATCCAAAGTGGGAGGAAAAGAAAATTAAACTTTACCTGAACATTTCCTGTACTAGATTGGGCATTTCGATCTGAGCCTCCTCAGCCCATCTTACAATGGTGCTGATTAACACTTTTCTGAATACTTCTTCAGGAGTCTTCTTTTCGGGCTCTAAAAAAATTAGCTAAATGCAGAAATGTAAAACGCTCAAGCGTATTGTGGTAGGTGGATCTCAACTAATCAACAACAACTAGAAGCTTTCTGGATAAAGTTTGAGTGGTTTCTCCTAAGACCATTAATCACCCTGTATATTTTAGAAATCTCACCTAGTGGGGGTTTGGGCTCTTCCTCCAGCTCTTTGACAGCATTTATTATGTTGTAAAGTTTTTTAAAAGGACCTCGCTTCTCGTGCTCATCCGGATTATCTTCTTCTACCGGAGCCTGGAGGGCTTGAAGCGACACATGCGTCATCAGCGAATTATGAAAATTGTTCATTCTTTCGCATAAATCATCACCCAGGGGACAATTTTCTTTTTCTTCCTCCTCGATATTTTTGAAATCTGGAAATGTGTGCTAGATAAGCATGGGAGCTATGAGAATGATTGCAGCTATAAAGGCAAATACAGTTTCTGAATCGGAATTTTTCCAAACTTTAGCTCGGGAAAACTGAGAAGTAGCTTTTCCAAATATCCGATCATTTATTTCAGAAGCGGCAAAATTTAAATAACACACAGTTCTGATACTTTTATTAGACTAGATATTATAAACCAATGTTAAAGTTCACTCTTGACGATGAAAGGACGCAAAAGAAAATGGTTAGTGGGCTTTCATTCCGGGCAGTTGGAGGTCCTTAAATCGGTTGAGGCGGTTAAATGGAATTTGCTCAAATAAGGGAGATGAAGCTGATAAGTTCAAATCTACCAAAAACTAACTCCCGATGAATCAGCAAACCACGTAACTAATTTTACTTACATGAATAAATTCGTATTTATAGAAAAAGTTTATTGCTATCAGGTGGACGGTTTTCACGGAGAACTTGGTTTATTGAAGGACATACCATTTACAAAATGAGCACAGTACTGTAGTTAAAAACGGACTTTCTTATAAGAATCGATATTGTCTAAGAAGCTGATTATATGTGTATCTACATTATTCTGCAGCTCTAGACATATTGGCTTCGTTCCAATAGTGCAACAGTTTGTAAAATGTTAGTAATAACTACTGGAAGCTTAATTTGATTAAAACAGTGCAAACGATTGTTAAAAACGAACGAAAACAGCGTGAGGATTAGTTAACTAACTATGATTTCATGCGTATCTAAGAACTTAGTCGGTGGTAGGTCAGAGACCACGATTGAAAATGCTGTTAAATTGGGAAGTTGTAACAGTTTCAACCAGGACTTCATCTCTCCAAAAATTAGCGGTGCGACCACAAAAAACACTTTTATCTCTAATCTCCTGCAGCCGAGTTTGTTTGGACACTCGATACCAAAATGTAATTAGTCCAGTTAGCACAGGGTTTTCGTTAAACCACACAACTCAGCTTGCAAATGGTACTTCCATCTATTAATTTAATAGCAAAAGTGTGTTATTCAATCGTTAAGTACATCGACATATAACCGCGTCAATTCGCAAGCAATTAAACTTGAAATGTCTTGCAGGTGGTTGGCCAATTTTTACGTACCTGATGTTTTGAACTTACACAAAATGGCATTCATTTGTTCTCTGGGTGGACAACGAAACTCTTTGGTTTTCTTCGCGGCAACAGCTGAAGGTAAGTCGGACTGTTTGATTTCGATGTATCGCCTCAATTGGTCAGTCTGCAGATCGCCCACAAAATCATGACTGAAGGCAATGATTGATTCGACTCTGTGTCGCAACTGTATGTCGCACAAGTGTTGCAGAAGATAGCACATTTGGAGTTTGGCCCCCTCGGCCATTTTCATCTGCAACAGGCCCTTTCGGTGCTCGTCTTTGCCCTCTTTTTTGAAAGTAGGGTTCCACGTTTCGGGACAGATCATTATGAGAAGCTTGTCGACGTTATCGTCGCTCAGCATTCCAACTAATAGGAGGCGGTCCACGAGTTTTAACAGCGGCCTAACAAAATAATTCGAAAGTATTTTCCGCTGTATCAGTTGTAGGTGCGTAGGTTGTAGGCTTGAACTTACAGAAATAAGTTTTCGTTTGAGCCTCCTATGGGGTCTCTATTATGCAATTGGTTTACTTCAACGGACTCAGCCAAAGCGGTCATTACGTAGTCTCTCACCACGTCCAAGGGGAAAAACGGAGAGTAAAGATTCTTAATGCTGTCTATCAGGTCGCTAAAAACCACGGAAAACGTGTATTAAAGTCGCAAATCATTTTTCTACCGCCTGGTCAAACCTGATATCGGAAGTTTTCATTTGTGGCACAACCGACTCCATCTTCAGTCGTCGCAAACTGTGACCCATATCCACATTTTCATATAGATCTTTCAGTTCTTGCCCAATGGGAATTACATACTCGTTTTTACACACTTCCCTGGTTGAGCCAAAGAAAATTACATAAGAAAACATATTTGATGCCTGCTTTGTTAGAAGACGGTGAAATCGAGACGAGGTGCAAGATTTTAGCTAACTGATGTGCAATCTAAATTATCTTTTTTGCCAACAACAATCAATAGAACACCCTGTATAAATATGTTGCATTAATTTGCTGAAAAATAAGGATCATTTCGATATATGGTTTATTGGGTCTGTGGTTAATAGTTTTCCAGATATGGACATTTGTTGAATCAAAGTGCAGTTGCGTGAAACCGTTCATTTTCCCTTTCACACTCCGATCAAGATTTAGTGCGATGTGAATGAATTGTTGAGGATTTTTAGGTTCAAGTGTTTTTTAAGTTCAAGTGTTTCAATTTTTTTGAGACTGTAGTTGTGTAAAACCCATTATTGTCAGGCCAATATTCACAGAGCGCCCAAACAGCAGCAATTGAGGCGAATTGAATGAACTGTTGAGCATTTGTCAACTCAACTATCTCCTATAGAAAGGTCACTTTTAACGTTTCTAGTCATTGTCGATTAGAAGTTGTGAGTTTCCCTTTGACGGTCTGCAGTCGCGTTTATTTTAAGACGAGAATTCATGAAACGCGCAAAAATCAGAATTCAGAGCGATTAAAATGATCTTTCAAGAGTTTCTTGGCTCAACTATTTGCCATACATTGCCAAACTTTCCAAGTGCCTCCTAGCTTTGAAGGAGAAATTACAATTTTTTATTTTAGAGCCTGCTCTAGCGTGAAACCGTTGGTATTCAGACCAGCATTCATAAAGCGCGCAAAAATCAGGATTTGGCTGTGATATTTTAAGATTTTTTTGGATAAAATATGTTCTATGCGACGCTAATATTTCAAGTGCATCCTGTCTCTCAAGATTAAATTATGAGCTTTTATTTCAGTCTGCAGCTGCGTAAGACTATTAATTTACAAATCGATGTTCACAAAGCGCGCAAAAATCAGCATTTGAGGTGAATTGAATGAACTATTGAGGAATTTTAGGTCCAAGTCAGTCTCGTTCATCAAATGAGAAATTTTCATGTTTCTGCTCGCTCTTGATTTTTTATTTAAGAGTCTGCAGTTGCATGAAGCCCGTCACTTTCAGATCAGCATTAATGATGCGCTCAAAAATCAGAATTTGGCGCTATTTAAATGATATTTTAAGAAATTTTCGGGGGTAATTGCACAAGTGCTTCAAAATTACCGATAATTTTGCATGAAAGCTTGTTGTCTAAAAACTGCATGAGTTTATTTTCAT